TTTTTTTTTTAAGGTGAGGTTTTGCCTTTATCTTTATTAATAATTTGTATTGAGAATCCACAAGAGGTTTCTCTGGCTAAAGCTATATTTTACAAATTGTTATACAAGAATAAGACTCAAACTATTTTATCTGTAATCTAAACCTATTAGAATGGTTAAAACAAACCTAGATTTGATAATTTAACAAAACCAAACCAAAAAATTTGCTAATCTTAATGCCATGGTTATAAGCCTGTAGGTAGCTTAAAAAAATTATATACTGACTATACAAATTAGTCTCTACTTCTATTTTTCTCTAAACTAGTATGCAAAAATAAAAACCCAATATGAAAAACTTCATTGACCAGCCTAAGATAGAGAGGTCAGAACAGTGTCTCGAAGCATTGTTTATACAGATATCTATTGCATTCGAGGCATGTGTATACACATGTTTGTTGTCATGTTTCAATTTGGGAGATAAACAATACTAACTTATTTGGTATACATGATATTAATCATTTAGAGGAGGTAAGCTAAAACAGCCACTTTTTACAAAAATTTCTTTGAAAAAAAGTGGTGGGCCAATGAGAGTATGTGAGGTTCTTCTTGTAAGTTTTACAGTTGTATAGTTCAGCTTCTCTATTTCTACTACTTAGAAATGCACCTTGATTACTTCTACAGACTTGTTCCCAGAATAAACCTTCTGGTTTGGATGCCAAATACTTTGGATAATCTGCCAGAAAGAAAACTTACCCCAAAGAAAACTATTCTTTTGATGCCCAGTCCTTGGTGTTTCATATCTAGATGCTTAGACTTCATCGACAACAAGCTGCTCCTACTTATAGAACTAAGTATTAGTATCCACCTCGTCACTTTTCTATACATTTTGCTATAGTTCAGTTTTTGTTGTTGCTAACCAGAGGATCATTGGGAAGAGTTGCGGTTGATGTTGATATAATCAAATATATGACTAAAATTTTTTTAGCATGAATTAAAATTGCTAAAAAGTATAACCATAATCTGCTTTATACTGCATTTTATTACTGTGAACTACAATCTATTAAGGAAATTTGGTCAATTGTTATAGACAAAATTACTAGAACTGGTTCTTATCCAAACTATTACATGCTTTTAAAGAAAAGTTATTTCTAATATTATTGTTGGTTTTTGGAAAAGATCGCTTAACAAAGCTATAAAGTATAAAGAATTAAGTGGTAAAATATTAGTAGTTGAAATAAATATAAAAATTCTGAAATTAAAATTGATGAAATTGATAATTGATAATGTTTTAAAACATAGATTTTTACAAAATTATTTTAATTATATATATTAAATTTGAAAAAAAATATTTTTATTAAAAGTATATTAGTGTATCAACCATTTTGCACTAGACCATAATATCCTATTTAATCTTAAATGTCAAAAACAATGAGTAAATAAAAGTAAATGTTCTCTAAAATAAGTACATGAAAGTTATATTACATAGATGGAAGGGGATAAATCAGTTATATCCTGTGTAGTTGGATATAACTATTACAAATATCATCAATGATTGAGATGTTTGAATGTCATCATGATCGTTATTTAATTGATTGATTGAGATGCTTGAGAACACTCTAAAAATCAAGACCGTTCTCAATTGCCTTCCTCAATGTAATTAGCTAGTGATTGAAGTGGTGCTTAAACGCTGCGATTATGATCTATCTTCAAGAAAAAAAAAAGATGATTACCCAGTTACCTAAAAATTTAGCATTCAAGACTTAGGCGGTTAAAAACTTGCCTCCAACCACCCTCTTAACAATTTTACAAATAACTTTTCATTACAACAGCACCCATATTTACTTTAAGCAACAACTTTATATGGATTCGTTAATGTTAAACGAAGCGATATCGAAATATAGTGAAGCATGAATGTTATTTTAATAAAATATATAAAAAAATAATTTCTTTATTCTTTCAACATAAACTCTGAAATCTTTTATTTGTTACGAGAGTTTTCAGCATGAAGAGTAGAATAATAATTTTTTGTTAGCGATGACAATCTTGTTGAAAATCCAAGTTATGAAAAAAATAATAACAATAAAATGTAAGTGTATTTGAGCTTGATCAATCTCTTTGATTACCCTGACAATGATAAATTTTAACCAATCAGCGTAGCTCTATGAAAAATTGGTGGTCGCAGTAACAAATTATGCACATAGTATTTATAAAAGTTAATTTTTTGTCCGATAATTAATTGATTGGCTAAAAGGAAATAGATTATCAATTAACTGGAGTCAAATTACCTTCTGAAGTCATTTTTGGATGTCAAATAACCAATGACCGGTCTTTTGAGTCATTTGAGTCATTTCGAGTTATTTACCATCTCTGCATGAATGTGCTTACGTATGCATTTTTAAGTGTTCAACCAGGTACTGTACGTACGTACGTACGTACGTACGTAAGTACACGCATGTATGAATATTCTTAAATGCAATCTTGTGAACCTATAGTTATTTATGCATTTTTATAGATGGCGTCAAGCTTAATGGACGTACGTACGTACGTACGTACAGTACATGCGTACGTACATATGTAGAAAAGTGTTATAATTAAATTGTTACTAAATCTGTAAATTAATCTACGTAATTCATATACGTACAGTTTACGTACTGTCAAGATCAAAGTCATGACCTATCGGGATTATGAACTAAGTAACACATGTAACCGAAATGATCATATACTTCGATTATACGTATAACAATTTTGTAAGTTAAGTATGGTATAAGGTATTTATTTTATGGTCAACTAGATAATAAAAATTTTCCGATACCAAATGAGTTATATAAAGTGGTATTTAATATTTTTATGAAGGTCGATACTCTTATATTTTGGTTAAGATCATATAATATATGTGTGAAAACCTGGAAATAGATTTAATGATTTACTATGATTTGTTCCAAGTTTTCATTCACACGCATTCATATGTAATAAATTTTAAAATTATCGTTATTACAAGAAAAAAAAAATGCCGAAAGTATAATAATTTTCCGGAGGTTGTTCCAACTCTATTTAGTTAAATTTAAAATTAGCAAAGACCAACAAATATTTTTTTTTTGCTAATCTTTCACTGTGGTCTTTGACGATTAATTATCAATTAATGAAAAAAAAAAATCCATACTGTACTGTAGTAGGAAAATATTTCGGGATGGATCAGATTGTCAATTTACCAAATTTATCTAAATATCCGGCCTAAATTAAATTACCTAATTATGCCAAGTTTACATTTGGTATAAATTTACATTTCGATTTGGTTTTTGGTATAACTTAATATTTGGAGTACAGCATATTCCTATTATTATTTAAGTTACCACTTAGATTTTCGCGTTACTATTACATGAATACAGATCAATACCGAATGTAGCTAAAAACAGACTAACGCTAACGATAAAATATAATGTGAATACGTATGTGTTTTAAAAAATATATTAACATTAATAGTATTAATACTATTATATAATTTATTTACGTGCGTATGTGCGTTTAAAAACTATGACCAAGAAATTCAAAACTTCATACCAGACGTTCTTTGTTTTTCCAGTTAACTAATAATAATAATTATTATAATAATAATTATTATAAATAGTAATTATGTGAATATTGGTTCGGTAGGCATGAACATATGGTAACTTATTTTGTGGATTACGGGATCTATAAACCCTGATGTTTACTACATTTGCCACATTGTTTATTGGTACGTATTTGTTATGTCATAATTTGGTTATGTTGCATTAATGAAGAATTCCAAGCTTGTACGTACAATCGATGAAGTAGTGAAACAATAAGTTTCAAAACATCTACCAATGATGAAATGCTTCCTCACATGATATCCGTTTACAATCTTAAAAGTATAATACGGTACTCTCTTCATTTATTCATTTTGCCCTTGTTCTAAGCTTGAATTCTAAAGTTATCTTTATATAATTAGCGAGTTTCTATAATTCATATGCTTTATAAAGACAAAAAAGTTTTAAAGAGAATACAAAATTCAATATTAATTCTTGCGTATAATTCAGGATAACTTAAAAGATGGGAAACAGGGTAACATCCATGAGGAAAGGAAAAAAATCCAACCAAACCGATTGTTATGAAGAAGCGTCAATTTCAACCAGCAGTAGTTCTAGTGTTCCATTGACACCACAATTAAGGACCATAGCCGGTCGACCTCATTTTGATGAGAATTATTCCCCGTATATAGTAAGTTATCTTAAAAATCGATAATATATTTTTTTTCAAAAATTACAAATATTTAAGTTAGTTTCGTTAAAGTTTCCCACAGATTGGGAAGAAGCTGATAGAATTCAAGAGTATCATTTCATGCTAAAACATATACTTGGAGGTAATTATGGAGCACCACTTTCAAAAATTATTAAACCAGGAAGTCAAATTTTGGTGAATATTTATTTATTTAAATATTAAATAAAATATTTTAAATATTATATTCACTCAAATATAAATAATGTCTTATTTATAGGATATTGGATGTGGACCTGGACATTGGTGGTAATAATAAAGATATTTTCAAATGCGTTATTTTCAAATGTAATAAATGATAAATCATATTATATTTTATATAATTAGTTTCGAAATAGCGCAAGAATTTCCAGAAGCAGATGTTTATGGTATAGATATAACGCCATCCTTTCCAAACAAGATAAAACCAAAGAATTGTTATTTTCAAACATGCGACATACTCGAAGGATTACCATTTGAAGATAATAGGTTTGATTACGTTTTTATGAGATATATGCATTCAGTAATGAAGAAACACCAATGGCCAGCAGTATTAAAAGATATAATGAGAGTAATGAAACCTGGTGGAATGATTGAAAGTGTAGAGCTTAATGCGATTCGTAAGTAAAATTTTTCGAAAAATAGAGGGATATAATAAATAATTATATATTTTTCGTATATTATATATTATGAAATAGCGTATTCAATGGGCCCAGTTCATACAGAATTTGTGACTAGATGTGGTGAGTAATAAATACTTTTTTGATCCTTCAAACATTTATTATATTTGAACATATTTTTTTTATTAATATTAATTTTAGCTGAAACAACGTTGGAAGTTTTTGAGATGGATTTAAAAATGAAATTCGAAACATTATTTAAGGATATAGGATTGCAAAATATAACATGTACTGTTAAAAACATATCAGTTGGAAAGTAAGTTCTATATTTTCCTAAGAATTCATTCATGAACTATAAAATTTAATTAAACACAATCTTTTTCTTTAAAAAAAAAGATGGAATGAAAAACAAGAAAAAATAGGACAATTATGGGCGACACATATGATTCGAATGGGAGACTCAGTTAAACAAATAGTAGCGCCACTTATGAATCTCACTGAGGATGAGTGGAATAATATGTTTAAAATAATGTATTGGGAGGAGTCAGATAAATATCATACATATCAAGAACATTATATCGTTTTAGCTACTAAAAGTATTTAAAAAAAATTAAATAAATACTATATGTATATAAAAATATGATACTAGGACTAAAACGACCTATTGAGATAGTGGCCATTCGCAAAATATCGATCTTTGGTTCATACTGGTAGTAAAACCTAGGGTTCTTATTTGATATCTGTAGTAATTGTTTGCAATAGATTGAACATTATCGAAAAAGATACTTTAACAATGGATATTGACGCAGCAAATGGCTATAGGTCTTTTTAGTCCTGTATGAGTCCTGTATGAGTCCTGTATGAGTCCTGTATGAGTCCTGTATGAGTCCTGTATGAGTCCTGTATGATACCATACCTATCTAACTACGTACATACGTACATACCTATCTAACTACGTACGTACGTACATACGTACCTACCCATGTACATGCATACGCACGTACCTTAACATAACGATACAGCACGCAAAAATAATTTATGTTATTAACAGTAAGCCGACATGTTACGTACGGAGTTTATATATAGATTTGCATATTTATTAGTCAAATAATTTGATATTACTAAAATACACCTATGGTGTTTTACAATAAAAACTGACTAATTAATTGGTATGAGTATTCTAAATAAAAATGTCCTATGTCTCCAAAAACCCTTCCGAAACCTCCGAAACCTCCGAAACCTCCGAAACCCTAATTTTAACTGCAAGTACTAACCTTAATTTGTATTAACAAGTTTATTAAAAAAACCAAAAACTTAGAAAAATTAATAAAAACATATACCATAGGTGCGTTTAATAATAATTGATATTAAATATATTTAAATTTTATAAAATTATTTACCATAAAAAAAGACTGATCCACAATAAACAAATAAATATAGTCCTTTGATTTAAAATATATAGAAAGGAATGTTCAATTTAAGACTTAAGATCTTCTATTTAATTAATATCCAAACATTTATAAAGACCCTAAACACGAATAAGTATTTAAGATTTAAAATTACCTTTTATATCAAACTTTTAACCGAATTAAAAATTAAAAAATTTGTCTTATGAATTTACATATAAAATTTAGGTACTTAAGTACGTACGTACGTACGTACGTACAGTACGTTTTTTTTACCAATAAGAATATCATAAAACTATCATAAATTACCATTTGGATAACTGTATAAGTTTAGTACTGGGTACACGACATCATACTGACTACGCCAAGCAGTGAATTCGAGAGCAGGTGTCACGTAGAGTGTAATACAAAAATAACATTACGAGATTATGCTTAAAATAATTAACGGGCAGTATAAATTAAATGTGGCATTTTAAAGATTCAGAAATTATTCGCTTACATTTCTTACATTTAATTTCTGATAATCTCTAAACACTCTAAACACTGAATAACAACTGAATGTTTATTTGATGTACTGTAATGTAGTACTGCGGTTTGTGGCAATCAGTTTTTGTCAGATCAACCAATAAAAATTCATAGTTAATAGTAATCCCTCGGACAGCAACGGTGAATAACGATAAATAAACAAGCAAAATCCAAATAAATAGAAATACCAAATTTAGAATCACTATATATATATCTACTGTAATATGCATGCTTTATTGAATTTCCTTAAAAATTTTGTATACACATAAACACAAAAATTGTTGTTAAGTTAAAACTAAAAAGGAACTGAACTGAAAGACTTTTGAGATTAATACAGTAATTGCTGTATTGAACTCTAATCAACCCTAAACTAAAAAACAAAACCTGAAATTGATTATTGCATGATATGATTTTTTGTTATAAGAATAGGAAAATTTTTTAACCGCTGATTCAAAATACATGCAACTTAAAATTTAATCTTGCCAATGGAATAGATTTTCAACTATGCGTGTGCATACGTAGCTTCACACGGACCACATTTAATATGTACGTACTACATATGCTGTTACCAACTATTGGGAGAATAGTGCACGCATGTACAGTTTAGTCGTTATAGTTAACGGATATAAATGTGAATAGATTATATGTATATAAACACAATTATGAAGAAGCAACATTAAAACTTGAGTCTATTTAATTTAATCTATTTTCCATTTTCTTATTTGAGATTTTTGTACTAGGAAATCTAATAATTTATGAACAAGAATAGTTTTAAAAATTATTATACGTTTCATTTAACTCTTACCGACCGATCTTCATTTACATATAAGTATCTATGTAAGCACATTTATTACATTTAAGTATGTAAATACGTAAGACATGTCAATATTAGTCAATTATTAGATAATCATACAAATATATTATATTACATTACATTAAATGTAACATTTACAGCATAACCAATAATGGCCAAAATACTACGTAAAATACATACGTACGTACAGTTCAGAAGTAATGGATATTATATTATATGTAAAAGTTTTTAAAAATGTATTACAATATCTCAAAATTTTTTCAAACCTTTTTATGATAATGGTTAGTAAGGAAATTTACCTTTAAATTTCCCTACTGTACCCTCAATAATATCCTCAATAATATAATGATACGAATTGTATTCTACGTATCTTATGCGATAAAATTTATATATATATTAATAATGAAATAATTTTAAGCATCGATACGTAACTAAGAAAATTCAATACGAACTATACTGATTTTTTAATCTTGATTTACAAAAATTAATATAATCCTTTTTTTCCTTAAAAACATGATTTCCTGATTTTCGGTATCCAAATATTCAATATAGTGCCTATCGTTATTGCTTATCGTTACGAGCGATCTGGATAACCGTTGTACTTTGCAAAATTGCACCATAACTTTAAACAAAGGCTAAATTGGGCTAAATTGTTTTAAATAAAGGCTAAATTTCGGGGAAAACAACCGTGACGCCATAGGTTGTATTACACTAAAATTACTACTATATGACTATGTGAGGGCGTGAGAGTAAAAACTGGAAACCGATCATAGTAAATCATTATATCAGTTTCCAGGTTTTCACTCACACGCACTCATATAACAAAAATTTATTATGGCACAACGAAAAAATATATATATCGAGTTCACGTATGTATTAAAATAAGCCGCAATTAAAATTAATTATTAATTAAAATGGTGAATTAAATTATTATGCAAATTTCTATCTAAGATTTCGGGATTTAAGCCAACGTAACGGACTACTGCATAATCCTGTCGTACCTAAAATTAAGCACATGCCCGAAGCTATGACTTTTGGCACGTTTGAAAATGACACCTGAACAAAATAAAGTCCCCTGAAATCAGATCTTATTGATGCATTTAAACATCAATTAATAATTTCAGAACAATCTCTGGAGAATACTACTCCAGAAAACTTATGCAGGTTTTGACTTCAAGTACGACATATATATATATAATCGATAACCAATACTACAAAATTTATATTTGATCTAGTCTAGATTTAATTAATCGTCGTCAAATTATGTACAAAGAATATTAAAAAAACTGTTTACTATTTGTGAATACTCGGTTCGACAGATATATGCAGTTTTGCGGTTTTTTTTTAAACCTATTAAAGTTGTTTTTTAGAAATCACATTTAAATTAAATTTTATTACATTTTTCATTGATAAAATATCATGTATTTTCCTTGTTATTTTCATTGTTCCATTTTTAAATTTACTTATATGTCATTTTTATAAAAAATATTTATAAGTTAAATTTCAAAAAAAAAATTATATATATATATATAACGTACGTACATGCTGAATTCAAAAGCATACAGACTATAATTCTCACATGATACGTAAATATTCATACGTAAAAATAATCAGATGGGAAACATAACATCTATTACCAAAAAACTAAATAAACATAATACTCAAGCAGGTGCTGATACCGATCCATCCAACTTGTTTGGTAATGGCTGTAGCATAAGAACTAATTCAAATGTGAGAATTATAGGTGGTCGCCCTTTTTTAGATGAGAACACTTCTATTTATGTTGTAAGTTAATTCTTTTGTCATTATCTTATGTAATTGTTTTATTATTATTTTTTTTTTAATTGTATGAAAATTAAACTTTATTTTGTTAAAAGTGTCCCACTGATTGGCAAGAAGCTGATAGAGCTCAAATGGGTCATTACACATTGAAACACTTACTTGGAGGTAGTTATACTGCTTCGCTTTCAGATATTCTTAAACCTGGAAGTAAAGTTTTAGTAAGTAGCGTATTTTGTTTTCTTTCTTCTTTGCTCAAGAAATTTTTTATTCATGAATTATTATTTGGCACTCGATTTCAATTTATAGGATATTGGGTGTGGTCTAGGACATTGGAGGTAAATTTTTAATTATTTTTAAATTCTTATTTTCACGTTCTTATTTCACGTTCTTATTTTTGTGATCTTTTTTTTTGCGTCTTTATTTTGCGTTTTTATTTTGCGTTCTTATTTTTACATTCTTATTTTTACATTCTTATTTTTACATTCTTATTTTTACATTCTTATTTTTGCATTCTTATTTTTACATTCTTATTTTTGCATTCTTATTTTTGCATTCTTATTTTTGCGTTCTTATTTTTGCGTTCTTATGTTAAATAGTTTTGAAATAGCTCAAAAATTTCCTGATGCTGAGGTACATGGCGTAGATATTGTTTCATCTTTTCCAACTGAAATAAAACCTCAAAATTGTTACTTCAAACTATGTAACGTACTCGAAGGTTTGCCATTCGACAGCAACGAGTTCGATTATGTTTTTATGAGACATATGCTTGCTGCATTAAAGAAGGACCAATGGGATCCACTATTTCGTGAGATAATGAGAGTATTAAAACCTGGTGGTGTTGTTGAATCTGTAGAGTTTGAGTGGTATGGTGAGTATCTTTTTTAAAGCCATATGAATTACCGTTATTTATTTGGTTTTTATAAAATAGGTCATTCAATGGGTCCGGTCCATACTCAACTCGTAAATCAATGGTGTATGTATTTTATTTTATTTTTTATCTTTCAAACTTTTTAAAACTCTTTTGTCAATCTCATTTCATTAATATTTAATTTTAGTCGAAATGACATCAAAAACAAGGGAAATGGATTTCCAATTTACTTCAAAACTTGAACAAACAATTAAAAATGTGGGATTTCAAAACGTAAATGGTATTCGTAAAATCGTGCCTCTTGGAAAGTAAGTATAAGTCTTTAAAAAAAATTTATTTATTTTATTTTATTTATTTTATTTTATTTGTTGTTTGGATTTTTTGGGTTTTTATATCTATTCAGATTTAATTAATTAGCCTTTTCCTTTAAGATGGGATGAAAAAGTTGGCAGAGTTAGTGAAATATGGACTTCAAATTTAGCCGAAATGGCTGCTGGTATGAAATCAATATCATCTCAAATTTTGGGCATCACAGAAGAAGAATGGACGGAGTTGGTGAACACATTATTCAAAGAGCTTGACGAGTATCACACTTATCATGAACATCTTATTATCTTGGCTACTAAATAAATTGCAACTAAGTTTAATTAATAAAATTAGTGCGAAAAAAAAAAATTTAATAATCCCCCCTAACGTGAGCGCTAGGGCTTTTATGAATTAGCTTAAAATTTAACATGGGATACACTGCAATAGCGTATCATTTTTATTTACATATATTGAACTTATTTTAAATTTAGGTTATAGTAATTTTGGTATTTATTTATGCATTTAATGTTAAATTTTTTTTACGTAATATAACACAGTCATAATAAGTTTTTGTACGTCTAATAAACCTAGATACCATGACAAATAAATTTTCTCCATTACTTTTTTTTTCTAATTTTAGGAAAGTTTTATTCGAAATTTTCTTCTAAAATTATTGACAGTAAATCTACTATTTTTTCATTGAAATTATGTAATATTCCATTTTCTAATAAATTACAGTTGTTACTTTTTTTTAATTCGATTATATTCAATTAAATCTCATTAATAACTATATATGTAATAAGGTTGGACGAAGTTAAAACTAGGAATTTTTAAATATTTAATTCTTTAAACAGATTTTAAATGATAATGACATGTAGTTAAAAAGGTAATACAATCACTTCATTAAGACTAGGGTCATAATAATGTTAACGGTAACGATAACTAGACAGGGGTTTAGACATCCTATAATAATAGTACCGTTTGTAAAGTGATATATAATAAATCTATATACAAATGCAAACCGATATCGATTGTTATATACAAATGTAGTGAATATATACTTGTACCGATATCGATTAAGAAATTCACTAACAAAAGGTTACGAATTAAGTTTTTATTTCTCATTATTAAAATTAATATTGGTCTTAAAACGAAATACATGTTTTAACTAGAATGCATTGATGCAAAATTTTAAATTAAATAGTAATTTTGAAATTATAGTTAATCATAATATTACTGTAGAGTTGAAACTTCAAGCGAGCTAAAAAAAAACAAAAGTACATTTTCATTATTAAAATTCCAATGAATGAGACTAATGAATAGAATGTCTTCATTCATTGCCCACCAAAAATGGGTACTTATTCCGTTGATTGTTTCTAATTGGTGCAAGAACTAAACTCTGCATGGAATCAAACTAATTTTTTACTGCTTTTTACGTATATTGATATATCCTGGGAATTAAGATAAATAATTAAGATAAATTCCGTGGATTATAAAGTGATCAAAAATAAACTCAGTGGTTAGCTGGTTTTTTTTTTTCTGCAGTGTTCCATCCCCAAATTAGTGTTACTTATGTAACTATTATACATAATCGTCGGATTTTACATACCCGATGCTTCATACATACCCGCTGCTTTATACATACATACCCGCTGCTTTATACATACTACCTGCTTTATACATACCCGATGCTTCATAATTACAGAAAAACCTTCCTTTGGTACTTTTTTATGTCGATTCTAAGATTTTCAATTCAAATTAAAATATTGGTTCTTATTTATACGATGTACACTTTTTATTTTTTCATTAACTAATAAAATATTTTTATCTTTTAGGTTTGAAAAATCAATTCTTCGAAGACATACCGCTCTAAAAATAGAAAAACAACCAATTAAAAGATTGTCGATTTAATTTGGCAAACTGAATTCAAGCATGTGACCTTGTTCTACGAGAAAGTCTAGAAACCTGAAAGAGAAAAAAAAAATTTAATATACTAAAAATACTAAAGAAAAAACTATGCTAAAACATTGATATATAAAAAAAAAAATGTCAATAACGCAAAAAGAAACTCCATGAAGCGATGCGAAGACCTATTTAAGAATAATAACGAAAATAACGAAAATAAAAAATTTTTTACATATGATCACCAATCTAAAAAATGATTGGTTGATCAAATAGGATCGCAGTGCGACAGGTCGCCAATTTATTTTTGCTATAAATTATAAAATTTTTTAGAGCCTTTTTTGTGATTATTTTTTTTATAGTTAGGTTAGAATTAGAGAGTAGTATTTATTAATAAAAAAATATATATGAATTTTAGTAAGTTTTATAAATTTAAAAAAAGATACCAATTTTTAGCATAATTCATTTTTAGCTTTAGCTCACACATTATTTTATAAAAAAATATTTTTTGTAAGCAAATATATATGCAGTATTTTTAAATAAATATTTAATTTTTTTCTTCATTTTTTGTTTGTTTTGTCTTGTTAACCTTGTTAGCTTTATTACTAACTTCACTTCTTTTTTGGATTTTTAAACTTCACTAAATATGAATCAATACTATAAAAATATATATATGATATTTTCAGATAAGGTATTTAATTTTTTTTTTGTCTGGTTGGCCTTGTTAGCTTTGTTACTAATATTGGTTCTCTTTTTTGAAATTTTTAGATTTGCCAAACATGAATCTGTACTGGGCAAATGTGAATGCAATATTTTCAGGTAGAATATTAAAATTTTTTTTATTTTTTGTTCTTTTTTTTGTTTTGTTAGCCTTGTTAGGCTTGTTACTAACTTTGTTTCTCTTTTTTTGGGTTCTTAGACTTTGCTAGATATGAATTAATACTAAAAAAATATGTGTACAGAATTTTCAAGTAAGTTAATTTTCTTTTTTGTTTTTTGCTTTTTTTTTTGTCTTGTTAGTTTTGTTAAACTTGTTATTAACTTTGTTCTTTTTTTTCAGCTTTTTAGAGTTTGCCAAATATGAATTAATACCAGAAAAATATATGTATAGCATTTTCATATAAAGTATTTAATTTTTTTTTTAGTTTCTTTTTTTTTATCTTGTTAATCTTTGTTAGCCTTGTTACTAACTTTATTCTTTTCAGTTTTTTAGGCTTCTTTAAATATGAATCAGTACTAAAAATTATGTGTACAGCATTTTCAGATAAGGTATTTAATTTTCTTTTTTTTCTTTTTTGTCTTATTAGCCTTGCTAGTCTGGTTACTAATTTTGTTTTTCTTTTTTAGGTTTTTAAACTTGCTAAATATAAACTAGTACCAGAAAACATATATATTATATTTTCAGATAAAGTATTTAATTTTTTTTTTATTTTTTTTGTTAGTTTTGTTAGTCTTGTTACTAACTTTGTTTTTCTTTTTTTAATTTTTAGACTTCATTAGATATGAATCAGTACCAAAAAATATATATGTGGCTTTTTAAATAAAATATTTAATTTTTTTTTGTTTTTCTTTTTTTTATATTATTAGCCTTGTTACTAATTTTATTTTTTATTTTTTAGAATTTTAGACTTTGCTAGATATGAATCAGCACCAAACAAATATTTAAATAGCATTTTTAAATAAGATATTCTTATAATCATATTTTTCAATTTTGCTTTAATTATTTTTAATTATATTGAGTTATTTTAATTTTTTTTCTTTATTTTTTTCTTTAATCTATTTTTATTTTTATTTTATTTTTTTTATTTTATATTTATTTTTTATTTTTTACTATTTTAATATTCAAAATATTTTTACAAAAATTAGACAAAAGTGCTAAATTTGAAGCTAAAAGACAAGCTAATTTTTTAAAAATGACTGCTAGCAATAATATATCTTAACTAGAAACAGTGCAGATTGCTACATAGCCAAATGAAACTATATCTAGAACTTTTGATAATTAAAATTTATTTATAAAATTTTATTTAATTCATTAATTTTTTATTTAATATATTTTTAATTTATTTTCATATTTAAAATAATTTAATTCATCTTGATATAACCAAATTAAAAGAAATGATTCTAAATCTTCTAAGAAAGTTGATTATTTAGAAGAGAAGATTTCTAATATAGATAATAAAATATCAGCTAGTCTAAATGATTTGAATGAAATCAAATTTATTAAGATAATTTTTAATTTTATTTTTAATATTTATAATTAATTTAATTAAAGTTAATAATAATATTTTTTAATAGCAAACTTGTATGTCTGTTGCAAAACAATTAATTATATATAATATTTACTTGACTAAAAATGAATTAAAAAAAGCAACTGAGATCTATTTAATCAAATATAAAATAGATTTTTATAAAATATAAAAATACTTGTTACAAAAATAAACTTGCAAAACTAGTAAATATCATATCAGTCGCACAATAAGTCACAACTAAATTTTTTTATATATAAACTTATATAATATGTAAGGGAAGAAACATCATTGCAACAAAGTTTATATATAATTCTATATGTTTTTGCTATAAGTTTATATATAAAAAACTCTATATATAAATTTTGTGACAAATTAGGTGACTAATATAGTTTTAAATATAATAATTTTCAAATTTTAACAAAAATTATAGAGCTTACAAAAAAAAAAAACTCTTTCTAATGATCATTTGTACACAAATAAACAGAAAACAAAAACTGCTTAAACTCAATAAAACCTATAGAAAACACCTAACAAGGTCTTAAAGAAAAAAGAAAAGCAAAAAAACAAATAGTTAGCTTAGAAATAAACAAGATCAAACTTGCAACAAGAAAGATATCTAAGAAAAACAAAGTTTTTAAAGAAATTTTTGACAAAAGTGTGTAAACTACTTGATTTTGAATGTAGATTACTAATGATAATACAAAAATAAACAAAATAAATAAACAAAACATATAAACAAAAAAATACACCAAACATGTGTAGCAATAGGCTCTTCTAGAAAGACTAAAACAACAATTAAACATATGCTTCAGTAGACAATTCTAGAAAGATTAATCTAGATGATCAAGTCACACA